GAAGATCCTACGCCTTCGGAGGATCTATGGTCGGAGTCGGAGGCCATGAAGCAGAGGGGTTTGCTGCAGCGATCTTTCATCTAGCAGACTTTTCTCAAAGAGGAAGGAACGTGATTGAAAAAATGACGAGTACGGGGAATATATACTAAGATGCAACGGTCAAGATCTATTCCCTCGAGCAATCGAACGGCCCAGATGCCCTGCGGCGCTTCGGGCTCAACGCCATTTATTAAGGCCATTCCTCTCGAGGCCCGAACCGACCGATCGGATGAAGCCCAAGAGGCGAGGCGTTCTGTCACTTCGCCATTAATAAACATTGACACGTCTTTAAAGCCTTAGCTGGCAAGCATTTGGGCCCGCTAAGAGACGCGTGTCACGAGTTTTCGCCCGTGCCATTTTAATCTTCAACTACAGGACAGATTCGCTACCGCTTAAGTTCTGATTGCAGTATGAACTCGCCTTAATTCGGATCTGAGTGCACGAAGTTTCACCTACAACCTAAACTCGCCAGAGGCTGAGTTGGGTCTACAGCGTAAACTTGCCCTTTCGTAAGTTCCGCTTGCAGTCTAAACTCGCCAGCGACCAGGGCTATCTTCAACACGAATTCTCCAACACTGGGGTTTCACCTACAGCACGAGTTCGTCAACAGTCGAAGTTAATCTTCAAGCGAGTTCGCCGGCGGTTTAATACGACTCTCCCAGTGAATCCACCATCATCTGGACCGGCCCGTACTCGAGTTGAGTCTTCGCCCAAGGCGTGCCACCTGAAATCGCTGGTGGCCATGCCAAGGAAACACTGGAGAGCGATACATCCAAAGGAAACGTGATAAGGAAAGACACGAACTTCGTCAAATGCTTCTAGACAGTACATTTGAACAAAGTTATGATTTTATAGCTAAGAAAGTCATAATGTTACGTTCGAAAAACAAAACATACACCATTCTTTCCTTAAGGACAATACGTTGGAACAAAGTTATGACTCCATGAGTCATGGCATAGTTTCAAAAGCAAGACAAACAAACAAAATGTCTTAAACACGGGTACAGAATTGAAATCTCAATCAGGCAAACTAAAAGAAGAAATATCTTCCTTGGCCAGTGCCACCCTCCTCGCGTGGTCCTCCCGAGCCTTGTCCTCAGCCGCTTTCCTGATTCGCTCCTCAGAGCTCGACCGGGCGGCAGCGTCTTTTTCACGCAAGGCCAGGAGGCGTTGAGTTTCCACCTCAGCATTCTTGCTGACCTTGATGACATCAGATTGAAGCCCTTTCAACTTCGCCTCTGCCTGTCCCAGTTCGGCTCTCAGGCGAGCTATTGTACGATTGAGGTCGACAATTTGCTCCCCCAACAGGTGTTGTTGACTCACCCAGAAAACGGTGATGGATTCCAAGTCAGCGATTTCTTTGGAATAGACCTCCTGTTCCTGATGACATCAGATTGAAGCCCTTTCAACTTCGCCTCTGCCTGTCCCAGTTCAGCTCTCAGGCGAGCTATTGTACGATTGAGGTCGACAATTTGCTCCCCCAACAGGTGTTGTTGACTCACCCAGAAAACGGCGATGGATTCCAAGTCAGCGATTTCTTTGGAATAGACCTCCTGTTCCTGAGCTTCCAGACGCCTGATGTAAACCAAGCAAGACTCCACGTCTGGGCCTTCCCGCAGCAATGCCTCCAGCATTATCATGCGCGACTCCAAAAGACGGAGCGCCTGCATGCAGCGTGTTGCCAGCCGGTTATCGCCCAACCGCCTAAAGTCGACCACGCGATCCAGGAGAGATTGCCTGAAACTTTCAAAGCTGCCCATGCCAAGGTCGACGAGGGAAATCACTTGCCTCACAGCATTCTTGAACTCTTCGACGCGAGCCTGCAAGGGCAAGGAACC